AAAGACACACTTAATTCAGATGGTCTGGATGCAACAGACAAACTTATATCCATGTTCTATGGGGTGATGACTCCCATGATGAATCCTTTAATCTACAGTCTTAGGAACAAGGATGTGAAGGAGGCATTAAAAAATTTACTGAGCAGAAGATTAATTTGCAAGTGAATGGAATATATATTGTGCTGTGAACTAATTGGACATTGTTCAAACTTGAGAATTACATTGGAATTTTGGTTACTTTTACTTTATCTTTGCTGTTTTGTGTATCATGTTAAAATTATTAGATGCTCATAAAGAATTTTCATTGTATAAGACAGTAAGGTAAGACATAGAGAGAGATCACCTGCCATCAAGAGATGGGTACTTGCAAACTTTTTGAACAGTTTCTTCATATTCTGTATTTTTTTTGCAGTATCAAGGTAGAAAATTGTGTACCTTTTTTATGTTCTTTTTTTGCATACATACATTATTTCATAGGCAACAATTCATCAAATCATTAAAAATAAACAAAGCTCTCTATTGTGAAAAAAAGCCAAAGAAAAAAATCCCCAAAATGCTTCACTCATATTTTCTATTGGAGAGCTTCTATTGCAGTTTTACATCAATCTACAAATTTTCTTAGACCACCACATGCTAACATGCTATTTATTTGGCAATCTATATTTAATTTAAACCCAAAGTTGCTTTACCATTGAGCTACATTATTAGTTCATTTTATTTTATGTTTTTAAATTGTTTTTTAAAGAGAGAGAGAGAGAGAGAGAGAGAGAGAATTTTTTGATATTTATTTATTTTTTTAGTTTTTGGCGGACATAACATCTTTGTTTCTATGTGGTGCTGAGGATCGAACCCGGGCTGCATGCATGCCAGGCGAGCGCGCTACCGCTTGAGCCACATCCCCAGCCCTCATTTTATTTTTATTTTGTGACAGGGTCCTACCAAATTGCTGAGGCTAGCTGCACTTTGTCATCCTCCTCCCTCAGCCTTCCAAGTCACTGGGAATACAGCTGTGTGCCATTCAACCCAGTTCAAGTGCTGTTTTTTTTTTTTTTTTTTCCCCAACATTTAATGTTGGAAAATGATGTTTGGAACAAACTTCTGCCTAAGGCAGCATAAAAGTAAATTGTGAAATAATGATTTTTTGCAGACAGTTGATTTTTACAGATATATGCATAGTCTTCATTATTCAAAGAGCTTTGCATGTACCTAGTGCCCTTTGTGGTCTTAAGTAACTATCCTTAATCCAGAAAGTCTGACAAATTGAGAAACTGCAAACTTTATAAAAGTCTGCAGAATGTTAAGAATTGACAAAAGGAAGATTTAGAATTGGCAAGTCTGGTTGGGTTTAGTGTGATCCCGAGCAACTAATTATGTCATACAATTAAGAAAAGAGAAACACCTTAGAAAGTAAAGTGAGAAAGGATTCTGAAAAAGAAAGAGTCTTTGGACCTGAGAATAGAACATGAGTAGTAACTGAAATTTATTAAGCTGCAATTTTTCTCCAGGAAGTTTACTAGGGCATAAAAGCATTAACAGATATTGGAAAAGAACTGACATGGAATTGAATACTAGACCCTAGGTCAGGTCAAAAAATAGCCCAGACCTTGGTGATCAGACTGCAAATGGACTGGGCCTAGAACTCCTAGAGACAATATGCAAAGTATCTTTATATTGAGAATGTGACTGTATTGAAAGTTTAGCAATCCCATTTAGTATGTAATATTGCAATTTAGAATAATTTTCAAACATATCATTATGTCCTATGGTAATGATACAGTGTATTATTGGGAAAAAAGAAAGGAGAAAGTCTATGAATCTTAGGAGCAAGAATTCTTCAGCTTAAGTATTATTTATTGATTATATTTATCTATAAATGTTATTGAAAAAAAATTTGAACAGGCTTTAAAATTTTAAGATGCACTTAAGGATATAAAATAAACAGCTTATCCCTGTTGATAAGTTATCCATTTCTTTTTTTCTGGAATTAACAAACTTTATATTTACAGAGATATGTGTGGGGGAAAATATATATATATATATATATATATATATATATATATATATATATATATATGTAATCTTTCTTACACCAACAATGGAGTGCCATATAAATTGTTCTTAATATTACTTTTCTACCTATTATTTCTTGAATATCTTTCCTTATCAGTGTACAGAAAAAAGCCTCATTTCTTTTGAGAGTAGAATAGTGTCCCACTGTTTCTATGTTCCTTTCTTGTAGAAATTTAAATTGTTTCCACATCTGTCATTATAAACAATATTTTAATTAATCAATTTGTAAGTTAATCACTTTGCAGGTAATGCCAGTACATCTGTATGATAATTACTGAAAAGTAAACCTATTGTCAAAATTGTATGTATTCACTTGTGATCTTGATAAATATTGCCACCTGGAGATGGTAGGAAATTTCTGATTGGAAGTTCCCTGAGATTTTGGCAATCTTTCTTAAACATCCTTTTCATCTAACATCTGTTTATTTATCCATATGTACATGTAACAATATATATGTAAACAATGTGTAAATAATGTATATAAGTACAAATTACCAAATAGTATAACTATATGTCAATTAATAAGGAGTTACAATCTATATACATATGTATATAATTATTATTTATATGTTTATAATTTATTTTATACATTAGTTGTACATATGATTTAACTATATGTTGTACATGATATGTTATTATATATTATTTTATCCACATATATTCTTAGATGTAGAATTTATGGTTGAGTCATATACTTTTACCTGAAATATAAAAAGAAATATTTGATGATATTATACTGTAATCTGAAAAAAGCCCCTGATAATGAACTCTAATTAAACCAATATATAAATATAGCCCTCAAGACTGGGAACAAAAAACAGGAGAGGTACTAATAGTGATCAATGAATAAGCACATTAATAGATATATTGATCAAGACTATTCAAGTTTCCATCATATAAGGCTGAAGAGATGAATCGTACATAAACTTCAAACACTTTTATATTATCTCAATAAAATTTGGGAAATTGGAGATTAATATGGAAATTAGGGAGTTGAACTATTCTCTTAGTTTCATCTTCCTTTTGGTTTGAAGGATTTAAGGGTATCAGAGAGCACCCTACTAGAAAGGAACTTCATCTCTATGAGAAAAATGGTTGGATCCTGTCAATCAAGCTATGAGAGTAAAGACAGAGAAGAGAACTATTTTTGGAATGAAAATATAGCATAAATATATAAATTAATTTAAAAAATAGTCCTGCCAACATCAACAACCAGTAGAATGTGAAAAAAAAGAGAATGTTGTAATCCAAAACAAGGAATGAAAAATAAGTATGATGGAAAGAAGAAAATGAACCACATTAATAATTATGTTAAAATGAACACGATAGATATTTTTATAAATTACAGAAACTTAAAAGTAGCTGGTACGGTGGCACATGTCTATAATCCCAGTATCTTGGGAGGCTGAGCCAAGGAGGATTGTGAGTTCAAAGCCAGCTTCAGGAAAAGTGAGGCACTAAGCAACTCATGTGAGACCTTGTCTCTAAATAAGGTACAAAATAGAGCTGAGGATTTGCCTCAGTGGTCCATCGCCCCTGAGTTCAATCTCTGTTACCCAAAAACAAAAACAAAAATATGACTTTCAGTAGATTAACATATATAAAGTTTTATAACAATGCATGAATATTTGTAAGTAATTATTATTAATAATAACTAAGAATTAATAAAGAATGAATGTAGCTTAGTAACTTCCATTTACCAATAGGACATAGTAAGATGAATAGTGTCTGGACAAAGTCATTAGAATGCATTTGGAACAGGAATCTGAGAAGTACATAGCAAGTTAGGAAAGGGGTAATGTATGTCCTCAAGTCTTATGATTGGTTAATTAAAATACAGTAATGAACCCAATATAATTAAGTCTTTAGGGTATTATTCTTGAAGTTTCAAAAAGTTTTGAGCATCTTTCCCCTGAAGCAATTTAAAATTTTGGCTTAGAAAATTGCAGAAGTCCCTAAGAGCAAGAAATATTTAAATTGTGTTCCTGAGTCTTTAGAGAATTTACTGGGTCTGTAGAATGTGCCCCATTCTCAGACTGAAGTAGTGAATATTTGTTCTCCTTTCCTTTTGAAATAGTGAAACTAAACTATACTTCCTTTGGAAACACATTTGACTGTAATGTACATAAAATTTTGAAATAATTTGGAAATGGTACCTTTGTCATCAATGTTTCCCAAACATTGGCTCCCCAACAGTAACACCTTTTTTTAAGAAATCCATCAGCCTTGTAGAAAATTTTGTAGACTAGCCTGAAAATCAAAGATCAAGGAACAATTTGCTATGTGTGGCAGTCTGATCAGGTAAGTCTACCTTCCCTTTATAGGTAATAGCTGAAAATATACTAATAACTAACAAATAAAAGAGTCAGACTTTATGAACTGAGTTGAAAGAAGTCATGTGTTGTGGGGATGGATTATTTCCTAATGGCAGTAGTGTATAAAGAATAGGAATAAAGATTCCAAGAGAAAGGTTAGAAAATAGTTAGAAATCTGGAGGGAGGAAGGAAAAACAATCAAAAGAATAGTTGTAAATCCAAAGCAATATGAACTTCAAAAACAGATGGTTGCTTAGGTCTAACGGGGAATAAAGATTTATTTGGTCAGAATGCATTTCCTACTCCTTGCTTCACTACAAGTGTCTACACTTCAAATAGTATCATTTTTTTGGTTCTGTGAGGTCACAATAGTCTGCAGATCTGAACTCTTGATCAAAATGTAAAGCAGGTTGTTTTCACCAAAGTTTGATTTTGTAGCTATTTACCTCTTAGCACCAATTGGGCTTTGTTTGGTTCACTTTAGCAAATGTTTGTCCATAGTAATCATGAGTAGACAATGTTTTACCCTGTTCCTGTCTTGGAACCTTTACATGGGCAGGCTGTTAGGAATTTATTTGAATACAGCTTTGGATTTGTGAAAAATGAAAATGAAGAGGAACAATGAGTCATTATCATTTTTTACAAATTTCTTCCTAACAGGAAGAAATTCTGACTTATGTTTGCATAAATATTTGGAAGCTTGTTTTGAGTATTTCATTTTTTGTTGTTAGTGATGCATTTCTATGATAATTTTAGATATTATATTTGTATTACATTTAC